AAATAAGCATGAAGATCAGCGAATAAAATCGTCACCTCGACTCCGGCGTTGAGAAAATCCGCAATCTTGGAGACTGGAGTGAAGTATCCAACGTGGGGCTTTCCAGTTGTAGCTGTACCCCAGTAAAGCTTCAAATCTCTTTCCTTCAGAATGGCCTTGAGTTTGTCGTCACCCAACCATTCGGCGAGGTTCCTCGTTATTAAATGGTGCTTCTCCTCAGGGGTTAATTGAGTCATAATCTATTTTTAAACCCCAGATAAATTTCCATTTTAAAGAATCATTGTTTAATTAGAACAGTCTTCCTTTTTTGTTGATTTATGTATCATAATTGGATAATATTATTGCAGCTATTATTATATCATAATTGCTAACGTTTACAGGAATTTACATTTTTCGGAAGATAGGCTACTAATGAATAAATTTGGACAATTGAAAAAATTTAATTGCGTTATTTGAGGTGTATTTTTGAACACTAATATTAGGTTTGCAGGACGAAAATCCGTCAATCCATTTTTTCAAATTTATTTTTTGGAAATTTATATTATCACTTCTGTGAGCTGTGCGCATGCGTAAAAACGCCGAACACACGTGTAACATGTCAAAAAATTGCACGATGACATGAAAAGTAATATGTACAAAAGCTTAATATATTTTATATTTCAGAGATTTAAGAAAAATTAATGGGAAACCTGTGATTTCTTCTTCAATTTACTATGACGTACAATGGGAATGACATTTTTTTTTGAGGTTATGAACACTAAGAGCTGCTGGAATAATTTGAAAAGACACGGAAAGACTACGGTATATTTTTATTGATCTAGAGAATGTTTCACAGATATTTCGATATTGAAATTATTCGATTTTTTCGTTGTAAAGTTATTGCTTGACTTACAAGTATGGATTGTATTCGCGATGGCCAGGTGTCAAGGAATTCGAGTCCTAGAGAGAGACAAGACTGTATAAATTGTTGCTCAAGAGAAATAGATGATAAATTCGCTCCAGCTGGTAAAGTTGAAGACTTTCTACTGTTACCTGCATATAATACTAGAGAAATCCTATCTTAATATTTCGAAAACACTCGCTTTTTTAAAACGAAAAATGTGTAATAAATTCATGAATAATGATTAATTAATGACAATACTATAAGATGAACTAATTAATTAGTCTATTCAATGAAAATCATTGGATAAATCTTCGCGAGAATAAACGAGATGTCTCACTCACTGTAAAATATGATTTCTCACATTCTAGGGAGAATTATACACGGAAAAATATCTCGTAAAAATTACGGATCAATTCAAGTAATCAATAATGGCAAATTGTTAAAAATAAATTCTTGTGAGAACTTCTCGACGTATTCGTTCCGGGATTAAAAATTCTTGCGGGTTCAACCATTTTTATGAAGCTAGTACATCATTATTTCTTCGTTGCGCTTCGTAAAATTGCCCGATCCTTTAGGAAGAAATGACAAGATGATTAGCATTACGAACTAAATCGCGGAATTTATGTAACAATTCCTCCAATGTGCGTTCCACCTCATACTTTCTATTCCATTTTCCTTCGTTAGCGAATTATATTTCAAAATTAATAAATTTTTACTTTTGTTCACTGAGAATTTTTATTGAGATTTAATTTCCGTTCAAAAAATTAATCGTTTCTTCATTCAAAATTAATATTGAGAATGGAATCGAATAGAATTGTTCAATTGAGAATTCTTTGATACGAATTACAAATATTTTAGAATCCCATGGGCAATGAGTCGAAGGTCAATGTAGCTGTGAAAAATACAGCCGTAAGTGAGGAAGTAAATGTAATTGTTTACAGTGAATTGTGGTATTTTCTCTCGCCAAATGGTCGTATAAGGATGGACAGTAAAAATCCAGGGACTGGAGGCTTATTTCATACTGTGGTTCATTCGATTGTGCAGTGTTGCAAAAAATACATTTGAGCGGTGAGTTCTTGTGAAATGATGTCCGTAAATTTGTGAATTTTTGGTGACAGCTAAACATGAATTCAACGTCGGATAAGCAGAGCCTGAAATCTATTTATTGTCGGATATGCCACGAAGGTAAACACAATCAATCGATTCCCCTAACGAGCCTGATAAATACGAATCATTAACTTAATTTTCATGTTTGTTTTAAAATTTTTCAACATTCTAATTCATTTTAACAAATCCGCAATTACCATTTAACAAATTCATCTGATTATAAATGAAAGATTGATCAATTATTTAGATTAGTTAATTAAAAATGAATTAACAGCTAATTGCTAAATATCTGAAATAAAAAACAACAAAAATCTGTAAATAACAGAATTTCTGCGGTTAAAAAAATTAATCGATTCAATCAGAGGTTCAATCGAGAGAAAGTCAACGATAATTTGATGATATATTGTTCGATTAATTTGGTTTGCACGAATGCAGATGGTAATACCGAGGAATTAATTGATCCATGCGAATGCTCAGGAACAGTTGGTCTCATTCACACAGGTTGTTTAGAGAAATGGCTAACAACATCGAACAGCGCACAATGTGAAATATGCAAGTACGCGTTTTCGATAAAGAAGAAGGATAAACCATTAACGCAGGTGAGCGAATTGAGGACAAGTTACTTTTCAAGTGTATCATTATCGTTGGTATGCCATTGAAACTATGAGGATCGATATTGATGTGGACCTTGGGATTTAATGAGTCCTGCGTTTGTCCAAAGAAAATTACATGTTGAGTATGTGCTGAATCTCTGATGACTGTCATAATTATTCTGTTTTCTCCAATTGATTGTTTATAACGGGCAATTTCAGGAAATGCTGCTAAAATTTTGAGTCGCAATAGGTTGCTCTTAGAAATTTTTCGTTTGCTATTTCAAATGATTTTCACTCAAAATGAGGACATGTTTCATTTTTCTTTCATTTACTTCATATTTTTTGGGGTCAACCTGATCCACAGTCCGTCAGAAATTGAACAAAGAACATTAAAAAAAGATGCGAGGCCACAATACATCTTTAAAACGCATTATAATACGGAAAATCCACAGCCAGCAATTCTAAATTTAAAAAATTCAACAAAATTTTTAAACATTCAGTTTTTGATTCATTCATTCATCAATTTTTTATTCTTAAGGAATAATAAGTTGAGGATTTTCTGTCATGTTTCATTTGCTTGTGTAAAATGACGGAACGATTTCGCATTCTTTGCAGTAATGAACTTGAGAAATTACTGGACATTTCAGATTTATCCTCTTTCATTCTTCTAAAACTTCTTCAAAGCCATTCCTTGTTTCGGATTACGTTAATTGTTTTTCATTTATGATTGAGTTCTGTAATTTGTTATTTCAGTCAATCTGGCAATGGTGGCTATCAACAAGTGGCAATGGGCCCCAGGGAATCTGTGGTGACCTTTTCTGCTTTGTTATTTTGACACCTCTATGCGTGGCTGCCACTTATCTCTGTGCAGTCGGTGCATCAACTTATACTCGTAATGGTTTTTGGGAGGGCACTGGACTCTTCATACTCTGCTTCATGCTTGTTGCTACTTACTCTTTATGGTTCATTGTCACAATAAGGTAGATTGATAATTCATTCAATTTTTATTTGCGATTACAGCCGGATATGCGCGGAGAGAAAAATTCAGTAAAAATTACCTAACGCCCTATCGTCAGTAAGTAGAATGTGAAATGTAAATTATTCATTATTATTTTACATTCGTGATCTTCCGAGTAAATTACCCGCATCCATGAGTGCAAGTCACCTTTTCAATATTGCCAGTTAGGGATAAAATTTCCTTGAATTACAGAATGTTGATAATTATAACAGAATTGTTTATGAGTCTTCTCATAATTTTATTTTCCGGTTGACCACAAATTATTAACCGCGAATTAGTAATAAATTTAAACATTGAAAATCTTGTGATTTTTGGGACGTTCTGTATATAATTATTAATGGTACTTGGACATTTAGATATATTTTATATTTCCTTTTACAGATTCCATTACAAATCCTGGCGAGACTGGTGTAATCGTAATCAGGATGTGAAACTTCTAGTGAAACATCGGGTGATGACGAATGATGTACCCCCTGAATCGGAGAACAATACCACAAGCAGACATGTGAATATGATGGATCATTACGATAATTCAACACTCAATCCATTTTTTATACGATTTCTTACTCGGTTCGGCTATCCCTTCCATGAGATTAACCAAACTACATGGGTTTAATCATCGAAGAAAACTGATCTCGAGAATTTTACTCTTCACATCTATCATGATTTTCTATTCTCATGTCTTTTAAGTTATTTTAGAAGGAATTGTTTTGTTGTTTTTATATTGAGTGAAATAATTTGAAACTTGTTTTTGAAAATGAGTAAAAAATAAATTTCCATACAAAATTTGTGTGTTCAAATTTTCTACAATAGAAAACAAAAATGGAGGAAAAGTTTACCCTTCAAATTTTACCAAGCCATTATTACCATTAAAGAAGAATTATTATTATTATTATTATTATCAAATATTATTTATTTTATTTTCGCCAAAAATATTTTCTTCCCACCAGTAAATCTGGCGATCACTGAGTAAATACTCCCATAAGACTTACTGATGCCAGATATATTTTCTTATGATTAGTAAAAATTCTTGGCTAAAGAAAATTTTTTTCTGAATGTACTAGGTCTAGATTTGCGGGTGAGAAATAAATCTATTTGGCAGAAGAAATATTTTTCTCTTACGCTGTGGTATTAAGGGTAAAAAAATGTCAAAACAACGGAGAAATATTCTAAAAGTGCGTGGCCAATCAATATTCCCGACCCCTGATGTCGTTTCACAATTTCATAAAACATTAAGCCGTTTTGAAATAGATAAAACGAGGGAGGATAATGAGAGATCGTCCACCCTCTACTGGAAGGAGGAAAAAGCCATTTGTTTTTCTGTGAAATATTATTGATAGTTGAGTTAGTCAGTTGGAATAATGTATAGACATGAGAGTATATCCACCTGTCCGCAGGTTCACTGTCTTCCATTATTTAATATCTAGAGGTCTCATTTGGAAGCTTATACCGGGGGTTGACTTATCAAACGAAGACAATGAAGATAAACTTAGGGAAATAGAGGGTACTAAGACAGTAGTCCAAGTTCGATCGAATTATTCAACTTTTGCCTCGACATGGAAAGACCAATAAACGATGCGACGCAGTTCACTCGAGTGTGAAGGCAATCATTGATTTATCCTCTGAATATTCGTCTTCGCAGAGACAAAAAAAGACAAATAATTGCGCTTCAATGAGAATATTTAGAAATAATTCAATTTTTAAATTGTATTTTGGAGATTATAAAATTTATTTTTTAGCCATTCTATTCGTACCCTTTACGGTAAAATTGTGGTTTTGCACTATCAGAAATTTGAATTTATACTCAAGTTCGTTCTGATTTAATGTCAATTCAAAAATGGTCACTAAATTTTCTATTTATTTTGATAATTTAAGACTGATTCATTCTGTGACCTGTCCTTCACGACAACAAAATAGTGCAGGCCATGAGGGAATTTTTTAGCATAAAAAATGAAGAAATGTCAGATTATGTTGTTACTTGTTGTGAAGGTGAAATGTCGGGATTATTTCACCTTTCCATCAGTTAAGCACAATGTTATAAAAAAGTCACATTAAAAAGAATGAGTTATACGACCCACTACATTGTTGAAAATGTGAAAATAAACGGTATAGACCTAGTTTACATTCCAAATGCTCTATAAGCTGTCCGTTAGTTTATTATCATTGATTCGATGTAAAGTTTCCTCATCCTTGCACCAGATTGATTCGGGTCAAGCGGGTATAGAATTATTGAGAATTTCTCACTTTCCAAATCCAAAGTTTTCACCAAATTTCTCACTTTCCGCATGAGAAACCATAATCATCTATATTAAAGATTTTCGGCGATTTATTCTCCCATGATTCTGTATTTAAAAACAACGAGTAATACTATTAATGGAGTTAGTCCAAGATCATATTTTACATAATCATCTTCTAAAAAAATATGATAATTACCACAGTAAGGGAAAAATTTATTAAAATGTAGTGAATCTATTGGTTTGCGACCAAAAACGGTAGTTCTCATTAAATCTGACTTGAAACAGTGAAAAATCTTTTTGAAGTAGGTACGCATTTAATTAACTTGAATCATTTCATCGATTCACGCCAATTCACAGTTCCTCAACAAATATGGAGCAATTATAATATCCATATAATTAAATTAAAGAATTGATCGGAAAACATAATTAGTTTATTGAATATTAATATAATCAGTTTTTTATATAAAAAAATTGAAATTAACCCCAACCGAAAATACATTAATTATCATATTTAAAATTGCTAATTAATTAGTATTAATGACTATAATGAGTCAGCGATATATCACGAGTATATATTTCTTGAAGAACCCTCGGTACAATATATGATCATTATTATGTATTCAGTAATTAATAATTATTAAGCGACAATTTCCTTCGTCCTGGTCATTCCACTACGAAGAAATCACATATCACGCAATACGACACGTGAATACGTGGAAATGGGGTAAAGCGCAAGTCTCGTAACTATGACTACTACATGTACCTGGTGGATTACCACCTGAAAGTTAGGGCCATTGTAGTTTTAACCGTTACATAGTGAGCCTGTTGAAGCGCATTAACTTGTACCTATCCTCATAAACAATTTTCCAATCTCAAAGTGTCATCGACTGACTAGATCATCAAAATAGGACTTTAACATCATTATTTCCGTCAGATTGGAAATTAAACGAGGCAAGAAGGAATTTTTTCCTTTCCACACATCCTAATCACTACTAAAAGTAATGATAATTAGTAATTGTTATTCATTACCTGTTATTATTATTCGAATTCTCACTTTCTCTTTCGTTTTTCTTTGGCAGTACAATTTTTTCATCATGTAATGTGTAAAGTAGTATTTATGTCGAACGCGAAATGTGCGCAATTGTCCACTTTTGAATTTTTATTATTGTTTTGAGGTCTCTATTTTTTCGTTTCATAACTGAAGTTTTTTGATTAATTTCATAAATTTGTAAAGATCTAGGATATGAACAAAATATATTAAGAACGTGTATACGACATTTTTGGGACTTGAATTCACCGAATGGTGATATTATTCTATAAATATTTTTAAATATTAATATTTACTTAGCAAAATAATAGTTGAATTTTTGGGACAACAATAATTGTCGTAAATTATTTTCCGTCCAAAATTCCTCGCATAATTTGGAATGAAATATTTCTACGAAATTTTGATTGAGTACCTGAACAGAAAATGGTGGATAAGCCAAATATATATTAATTATATGCGCACATATTTCAGCAAATCTACAGTATATCAGATATATATTGAGTGCATGTTAATAGGCATATATTACACACTTCAATTTGATATATATGTGACATATGCGTAAGATATATGTCCAGCAAAATTTGTTGTGTTTGTATATATGTTTGAAAATGAAATTTAATTGTCACGGTTTATTCCAGAATTACTCTGGGGATTGAAGGCGCAGAAGTTGGAAATACCAACGATAGATAAACATCACAACCGTGTTTCAAGTGTAAAAGTGAAGGATCTGATAATGCCATACTATTATTGAGAGTGATGTGACAGTCTGCCCTTCACCGGGTCAAGCTCAAGTTTACGAATGTTTATAGTGGTGTTGCTAACTATTGTGCTGAAGATAATTTTAAAAAAGTTGAAGCGATACGACGAGATTGAGAGAATTCACCGGCCATCACCGATTTTCAAAAGTTTCATCAGGCTTAAATTTATTGGACAGTGATTGAACGATTTTCGTTTTCCGGTGGATAATTTTCCGGGAAAATTTCAATCGACTGAAGGTTGGGGGTGTTGTGGGGGGATTATTAATCATGTGAGTAAATGGCCGTAATAATTGACGGCCACTGTCGGAGAAACCTACTATGGGCATCTGCCTTGACACTGGTGAGTTCAGCAATTAAATTCCGTCAAGTAATTATCGATTCATTCGCGTCACTTGCCATAAAATAGTATAGAGCACTCGGGAATAAATAATATTAATGATATCAAATTATCAATAATATTCAATTATCATAGTACACAGTGTACTCACAAGTGCGTAAACATTTTTGGAATCATGTGAATGCTCATGACTCATGACTGGTCCACTGTTTACGTCTTCATTCATCCGGCAAAATTCTACTTTACGCACTAGTTGCACAATATACTATTGGTTGAATAATAGCAATAGTCGATCCCACCGATGACTTATTTTCCAGAATTGATTATCCCGATAGTAACACTGATTGGCAAGTTTGGCGAACTTTACATCACTCTAGGTTACAAATCCTTCGTCAATGACACGTCACTCAATCTCTCAAAAATTCCGGGGATTCAACACTGAATAATGTATGTTTACTGTACAGGACATGTAAAAAGAGATTTAGTCACGCGAGTCGTTTGTCAAACTAACTCGCAGCCGGATGTTTCAACCGGTTGTTCTCTTCAACTACAATAGTCCGTAAAACGGTCATTTACGTATTTAACAAGAATTGAAACGTCCCGAACGATTATAATAAAACACACGTAATGCAACGAAAGTATTGTTATTATTTTTCTCTCAGAAATGTTTTTGTTACAACTTTGACATTTTCTGTAATATTTTCCTTTTTATTTCATAATGGCGTAATTCAAGTAATTTTGTCATTTAAGGAACAACTAATTTATTAACTATGTAATTTATTTATCTAATTTACGGTTTTCAATCTTCTAAAGATGAGAATGGGAATTACGTATATTAGGTTTTTAATTTCATTATTTAATCAATTGAAAGCTTAATTAAGGGCTCTAGTGTATCTGATGAAAACATCATAAATTATTTTCTGGGGTACTTGAAAGTTATCCTTCTCGGTGTAAACTCGGAGGAAACTATACTTAAGTACTTGATACTTGAGTTAAGTAGATATGTTATTCTTAAAACCAGTATATTATTATTATTCAAGTGTATAGTAATATAATTAATTATTAAATCCCACTATACTAAATATTTTAAATTACAACTGATTTAATTTACTTAAAATCAAGTATAAAATATAACTTGATTCAAGTATACTTATTTCGATGAAGGTTGAGACAAATCAAGTTTTTATTCACCCTTCATAGCGACCCTGTCACACGCGAAAAAGTTCGTTGACCCCAGTTATCTCATGATTGCAAACAAAATGTGCTAGCGTGGGAGGGGATTATTGCGCGAAAACGGAGGAAGGACGAAGACAAAAAAAAAAGTCGATAACCTTGTGAATTATTAAATCATAACGTTATCACGAGGAGAAATCGCGATAATCATTGTTCCCGAAATTCTGAAGTTGGAAAGAATCATTAAAAAATTTTTATTCAACAAAGAAATAAATTCCAAGAATTGTCTTGGAAAATTGAATGACAATTTTTGTCAGTCATTGGACAATGATTTGCGATAGCGTGTTGTCTCGTGCTCGATAATTTAATCTGACATCGAATGAAGTTCAAGCGTTCCACATGTTTACGAAAACGCCCACGCCATTGATCATACATGACAGAGCGGTTTAAAATGGATCTCAAATTAGAGAATGAAGAATAAAAAACGTCATTGAAGTGTTGAGATGACCTTGAATTATTTCAGCTTTGTTATATGTAATATAATTTATCCTTGTTGTTCGACATGGGCAACAATTTATCGAAAATATTATCGCATTTATTTTTTGTGAGACTGTTTGAATATACCCGAGAGATTGGAAGTAGATAACAGCGAATTAGGTCAGACGTGGATCCAACATAACCAGAAAATGATGCTAACTGATAGTTGAATCGGAAATGACTTTCAGTCTACTATAGTGTGCTAACTATATAGCCCCCTAAAAGCCGATCTTTATCGTTCAAGCCATAATTTTGTTTTTACTCTTGTGGAAATTTATCGCGAGTCAAGAATACTTCCGAGTTGTGGGGAAACGATTGTTCTGAAATATTGACTAAATATCGTTAAATAAATGGTAGGATGGATCCATAGAAAAAATATAAACTTCAATCAGGTATTCTCTATGTACTCTTTTTTTTTTAGATCATCAAAATGAATCGCAGGTGTTCGAGGATGGGGATGCTCGAAGTATCGGGAGGTGGCGAGGTGAAGCAGGATTATTATCAACACCACCAGCTGGTGTCTTTCCGATGCAGAACGTCGGTCCAGTCAAGTTCGAACCACCCAATGTACCCGTTATTTTTGTTCTCGGTAATGTTCTAATAATAATTATTATTTTATTTTCTTTGGGGTTACAAGACATGTGTTTTACACCTTCTCCGCTTGCTCCATTCTTAATTCATGTATTCAAGCCATTTTAAAGTTCTGGTAATATTTTACTTGTTCTCGAAAATTTTCCAGCCCCTCCACGGTAAAAGGAAAGCCCAGAAAAATTTACCAGAATGTACTAATCTTATTTGTTTATAGCCGAAAAAGGCTGTTCCAAATTAAATTACGTAACTATTTGATTATAATTCAATCATTTGATAGATTCGCGCTACTTTACTGTTTTTTAACAAATAAGTAGTAAAATAATGAAATCTACTGTTCATGATATAGTTATAAACAACTGGAATAGAGAATTGAATTTTATAATTCGTTAACATTTATAATTGTGTTAATTTTTTGTTACATAGACTAAAAAGAAATAATTAGTTAAGCGTACCAAATATTTTTCTAAATTGAATGCATCCGTCGGTGGATTTTGATGAATACTGATTTGAAATTAGAATTTTCTACTTGCAAACAAAAGTTACAATTGAATATCAGAGTAGTAATTAGTTGTTTAAGCAACGTTTGGTTGATTTACGAAATATTTTTCTCAGTGCACTCACGAATATTATCTTAATGTTTTTTTTTTGTGTTCAGGGGGTCCTGGAAGCGGTAAGGTGACACATTGCGACAATCTAATGCAAGAAGAGAAAGGCATGACGCACATAAATATGACAGATCTCCTACAACAGTACGCCCTAGGCAATGGTCAGTGAATCAATCGTATATTTTAAGAACATGCATTCGCAACATTTCTAATTTATTTCATTTTTTCAATTATGTCTTCCTATTTCCAATACTTCACTTTAAAAATCGCGAAATTGGATTTTATAATCCTAATGCAAAGAGGAAAAAGGAAATCGATCGCGAAATTCTCGAGATATCTCGAATGACTGTGAGGGTGACACAAAATATTGAAAATTAGAAAAAAGTAAAAAATTTAGAAAATCGTAAAAATTTGAGAATCGTCACCGGAACTGATGGAGACTGCAAATTATTGTACAAATTTTAAAAATATGGATTTAATCTCTAATTGTGAATATATATTCCCTACAAATTATATTCCTGAATATATGCTCCCAAATAAGGAATTAATACTCTTCTTTCGGGAATCGATATTTCCCCGTCGAAAATATATATTTCCAGTTCAGCAATACATATATTCTCAGTTCAGACTTTAAATGATTCCGAATAGAGTTGATTTTACTTGTTTTTGGGGTAGCCCCAATTGCATAGATTCCACTTCGTCAAGGAGAGAATAATTACAATACGAAAACAAATGCACAGAGACGAAGAGTGATGGATTACGTAACATGCGGTTTGAATGACCCCTGTATGACACAGTTTATATACCCTAGACCTCTAGTGAAGCGTCAGGGTAAGTTGCGTTGTAATCGATGTATCCTGGTGATCGATAGCCCGTAGCGTCCTCCGGTGTTTCATTGCCCGTGGTTATAGCGCAAACAAGTGTTATCCATCCCCCACTATAACCATTTTTCAACCCGTCCTACTGTTTTTCAACCCTACGATGCAGTGGGGGGTAATGAAAGAAAGCTTTCCAGAATGTTTCCCGATGATTCACTGTCGACAATTTTTCACAATTTTTTATTCAATTACACTAATTACACGACGAGTAGAAGTTTGTAAGCATTATCTATCCATTTGGAAAAAATTACCGCATCGCTGGGTGGAAATTTTCGTCTTCTTTGTTAAAGTTATCCGACCACCTGAGGAAATGTACCTCACGTACATGTCATTCTTACCGAACCGCCAGATAATTGTTACTAATTTAATAATAACAATTTGGCGTTTGGATTTGGTAAAGGTAATCTTGCTGCTTTAGATAAATTACTTAGAAGTCAGGTAATTTTTACTGAGCAGTTGACAAATTTTAGTAAGCTGTACCGTAATTTTTCTCAGAGGGTTAAAATACGATTGTTAGATCGTTGGGTCATTTTTACTGAATATTTCGCTCGGGATAATTACACTTCCTCTGCTTTGTATTTCAGACATGCAAGACTTTGGTCTTCTGAGCAGCAAGACAGTGGCTGAAGTCCTCATGTTGGAAATGAAGATGTCACCAGGCGCTACGACATTCTTGGTCAGTGGATATCCCAGGAACATGAGAGATGTTGTTGAATATTCCGAGAAGGTGAGCGATATAATTAGTGTTTTATTCAATAATTGTTTGAATTATTCAGGGGGATGGCTGAAATGACGGAAAATTTCAGAATCAGAATAGTGAAATGGTACTTCCTTGTTTGTAAGCGGTAAACTAATTATTTATCCGTGACTAGTTCATCTACCCTGAAGGGTCAACACGGAAATCGATTATGGGATAAGATCTCGGAGGGAGTGGGTAGTAGAAAATATTAATTCGCATTCAATTTTCGAAAAAATTTACTTTCCCATTTTTTGATCAGTCATTGCACCTGACAATTCCAACGAGTATCAGGTGAACAATCGGAAGGATTCACAGTACTAACCACTTGCATGGGGAATCTAATCATAAAAGGATGATATATTTTTTGTCACTCACTCCGTCATGTAGCACGCGGTCGTAAAACCCTACCTTAGGTCCTGAATGACAATAAAATATTATGTTCGTAACTCAGCCGTCAGAAAATTTTCTGGCACTTGTGAGTTTACAATCCGAGGTGAACCCGAGGATTTAAATATCGCCCTAGTAACGAAATATACTATTATAGAATATTTCAAAATGTATGCATACGTATGATACAATAATTTATATAATAAGCGTAAAAAATCAACTCGATGTTTTTACATGATTTGGATGAATCAAGAAATAATTCACGCAAGAACAACTTGAAGAGATGAAGTGGAATGAATAGTACTTTACGAAATTTTCCAAATATTCACTCAATTGAGATTATTGAGTTTAAATTGAAGTTTAATAATGCCAAACGTTTAAATTTCTTCGACAATTCCAAGTCATGCAGATGGACATTGTCGATTGATTAGCAACGAAACAATAATATAGATGAAATTTTCCACGTGTTTCCTGTCTGCCATCGTGGAAGTAATTTTTTTCTTGCGATATGAAGAAGACATGGGTTTCCCCTTACTATAAATAAATCTCGGCCAGAAATACCTTCAAATTTTTTGGCCAGGATTCCATCAATGAAGTGATACACGTGCCGCATGACTCTCAATAACTATTGACGTATTCATTCTTCTCCTTCTCATGGTCATCTATACTTCAACTATATATTTTCTCGCACTATATTCTTGCCACGCGTGTCTTTTTCTCGTGACAGTGGGGGTTGTGGGTTGAAGGTTGAGAAGGTGCGCGTGGAACTGACAAAGCATCAACGAAAATCATTGACCCGCCCTAGTGACCCGCCCCGTTAACCTCAAAGAGTCAATGTCTGTCAATCCGGTCAATACCCCTTTCAGTTCGATATTGCAAAACACGCGGAGGAAATTTTTTCGAAAAAGTCACGCATGGGGAGAACCAGCGAAAAACCGCGAATTCACTGGAAAATTTCAGTGGAACTTTGTACACCTCATGTGTAGCGCTTGCGACGCCATTGGGTTGGGAAAGACCCCAAAATTGAGGTAGGGGATGCTGGGGTCATATGGGGTCATACCCATTCTAAATAGTTTCATCCTCAAATTTGAACTTTTGTCTATATTAAATCTAGAAAAAATAAACAAATTTAATATTTGGCATTTAGTTGATTAACAGGTTGTCACGTGAGATTCTGATAAAATTCCAAAACGCAAATAATCCGAAACAATCGCTTATAGTGTACGGTAAATGGGTTCATAACTCTAATTGGATGTGCGGTAATGATGTTTTCTATATTAGATTTATTACATTACGCGATTTTAATAATCATTTTGAAGAAATCCTGAAACTCAACGGAAAAAGAAATAGATCGCAGCTGTCAAACCCCAGTAAGACATATCAATGGTTCTCGTTGTGCATTCGTCTAGAGTTTATGGATGTCATGACCACCGAAAATGAGTCAAATTCTATGAATATTTATGAAAAAAATAAATATTTAATAAATATATAATATTTCTAATAAATATCTATTTATTAAATTTTATGAATATTTCCATAAAGAGCTTTCGAAAAACTGAATTTTCTTCAAGACCACACAAATATATATGCATGGAATATCAACTAAATATTCATCCTTTATCTCATAATTAAAATTTTTTTCCAAATTTGTACAAAAGTGATAAAAATAATAATTTCATCTCCCCATTGCATAAATTGAAATTAAATTTTTTTCCGCAAACTTTTGCTTTTCGCGGAAAATTTTCTAATACTTGACTCAAACGAAGTAATTCCCGCTTTGACAGCCATTTTTTATAGTCTTTTTACAGTCTTTGTTTATAGTTTTTCGATGAGAACTTTTTTTCGTTCAATATCGGAATTTGTATTACTTTTCTGATAATAGTTATTCTTCTTAGTTGTAATGATATTAACGAGCTTTCCCAGAAAACACATTGTTAATTTAACAACTCTTAGTTTATGTAGTTACTACATAGTATTCGTATTGTTTTCACACAATAATATTCTTCCGATGACTCATATTCCCCAACATTATGGTATTTGCTCTTATCGATTATTGTAGTAATTTTCCACTTTTTATTCATGTTTCAATCTTTGCAACAATTTTTTTTGCTTTCTACTGTTGATCAACACAGAATATTCTTAACGCAAACAAAATATTTTTCATGTAATATTTGATTTTTTTAATCTTATGAGACTTCGAATGCTTCAACTATTATATGACTAATCGAAATAATAAAAGTTGTCCTTCAATTGACACTAATTATTGAAGTAACGCGTAATGGTCTTGCTTTCTTATTTATTCAACCACTAATGATAATTAGGTTGAGACCACTTGAGTGGCTTTAGTATAGTCATAAAGAGATGCAAACAGAGAATGTGACGGCAATAATTCGTGTGTGAATTTTACCCCATCAGCGGTTTGTCCAAGTATATTTTTTATTATTAATAACCATTCGGTCTTTCTGCAAACATTTTGACTCAGAATTGAGTGCCACTCGGAATTATTCAAGCCCCATATGGAATATGGAATGATTCGTCAGAAATATGGAAATATGACATCTGACCTTGAAGTTAATTAGAATGAGCTTGATCGACTTTTCTCGAGGTTTCGGGGTAGTTCGTGGAAACATTAATAATTCGTCGAGTTTAACTGTAATTAAGGTAACTGCGGAGAAAATGGAGCACTGGTAGATAATCAATGAGTAATGACAATACATAATGGATGATCTGACACTTGCACAGAAATTCTGTCCGATCATCTTTGCATAATTGAGAATATTATCGGGATCAAACTCCTCTCCGGTTCTTGAAATAATTCGTCAACTGCGATTGAGGATAGCATCATACCTGATGTAGATGATCTGAAAGAAAAGACTTCGCCTAAATTTTAATTTTTAAAAATTCATTTTCCCAAATTGACGATCCGCCTATTATTCAGATCATTGAAAATCATTACGATTTGGACAGAATTACGTCTCACTCGTTTTATTTTTCTTGTTGAGTTTTCCCATTAAATATTGTAAGCATCATTCTAATTATTCAAATTATTGTTTTCTGTGTAAAAATTGTTTATTTCTCATCGTTTAACAGTCGATTTTATTTTATGTATTTGTTAATTATCTTATCAGCAATTTTTTCGGCGAATTGTTATAGGTACCTAAGGATTCTCAACAGTCTACTTCTACCGAGCCAATTAACTTGCCGTAATGATGCTTTTCGCATATTTGTTATAGATCCAAATAATCAATGGTGTAATCCTAGTATCATGGAGGCAAGAAGTTCTAGAGCGACAAATTGACTACGGAGCTCAATTAGGTCATGTGATTTTAAGTCTAGCACGAATGGAACTCCGAAATTTTTATCGGAATGTTATGCCTGTGGCTGAGTATTTTGATCGAAGTGGAATTCTTCTGGAGGTGAGCAATTGTTTTCAATACACTTCATCGGCCATTTAACGTAATTGCGTAATACGCTGCGAACCAACTTTTCCCTCCATAAATGCCTAATCGATCACAATTAGAGTCAACGTACAGCTAAATGCTAGCGTTATTATGGACATGATAAGCTAGACCTACTTCAAAACTTCCAACTTGATTATTCATCCTAATAAATTCATGGGTGTTCCACATTATCGTTTACCTTCAAAACATTTTTCTCGATAATTCACGTAATAAATTACCCATTTGTCCATCACATGTCGGGGGTAGTTTTCCATCGTGTAAATGATGAATGAATTTCTGGTGATTTCAGGTTAATGGGGAGCGAAATCCGAGTGAAGTTTACGTTGATTTTCGAGAGGCTGTCATTAGAATTTTGGGATTATCGGAAAATGGTGCATTAGACAGATCGATACCGCAGCCTTTGCAAGCCGAAGTCGAGGTAGTACAGCCGGATGTTAATTCTAATCCTCAATCTGCCAAATTGGTTACTTCTCCACCGGTCCCGAGGCGTGTGAATCCTGCCAAAACTGCCAATAAGCCGAGAAAAGGTCTCCCGAGTTTCATCTGGGTAATAGGTATGTCTGATTACTTTATTAAATTGTAGCTTTCAATGGCCATAAACATTGACGAACTTCAAACAATAATCAACTACTAAATTCCTCCTAATTTTTTTCCACAGGCTAAATGTTAATTCTTTTGCACTTATATTATGTAGAAAATCACTCACATTACGTTTAAATGAATTAATTCTTTCAAGACATAAGTATCAAAAAATGGAAATAGCATACTGCATGCAAAATAATCTCAATAATATTCCTTCTCAATTTTATTTAAAACAGAATTTAAAATAGTTACAAAGTTCGTCTGGGATGTAACGGATTAATGGAAACTTGGAAAGTTTTCACAATTTTTTAATAGATATTTGATCATGAATATTGCATCGAATAATAGTAAGAGAGAAGAAAATAAAATAAGGGAAAGCGTGAATAAATGATTGATGAAATGTTCGCTGTTTTGTTTGAAAGGTGGACCTGGAAGTAACAAATCCCATCTCTGCTCACAAGCAGTCCGTAACATGCCGAACTGGGTGCACGTTAATATCGGAGGTTTGTTAAGGACTATGGCAGTATCGAATCCCTTAATAAACGACTCCATCGTTGTTGGAGAAATGGTACCCCAGGACATCATCATGCAGTTGGTGGAACAGCAAGTGATTCTCAATCGAGATAATGATGGAATTGTTATGGACGGGTTTCCCAGGGACTTATCCCAAATGCAGGAGTTTGAGAGCAAGGTTTGTAGTCAATAGTTCCAACGAATCAATAATGCTAATCAATCCTGATCTTCATACCTCAATAAATGTAACTGTAGTTTGGACAAGAACCACCCTTGATTCTATTGGACTGCTCGAAACTTCAGTTGGGACGTGGAAAGCTCGATGACAGCGTTCCAGCATTTCGAAAAAGATTGGAGATATTCAGAGAAGTTACTCTGCCGATGTTGAAGACTTTGGACAATGATAATCGACTAAGAACGGTAAGCGGAACATGATTTCGGTAGCTGTACAATTCGACGAATAACGAAACGTCTAATGCCATTTCGCTGAATGACAATTCTTCTAATTTCATTTCGTTTAAATCTCAACTTGCCTAAAATCATTTCGCCTCTATTAGTTGGAAATGATTTTTTAAAAGCAGTGGAATACTTTATAGGGTATTCCTAAGATATAAGAGGATATAGTTGGTCTTCAAATGGCAACAGATGTTGATCATTAAACCGCTTTCGAACGCGTAGTATGACCGATCGGAAATTGGTCCGTTTTTCCGGCGTTATTTTCTCCAGTATGTCCTAAATATATCTCCAATAGTTTTTGTACAACAATGGAGGATCTGTCCATATTTGCATAAATATTCTAGCAATCGCGATTGTTTCATCTCATGTCATGATACCGCGTACACATCTTTCATTCTTCACAGCTAATTAAGGATTCGATCGTCTCAAATTCCTTAGTAACAACTTTTAATTATTTGAATGGATCGGCTTGTTCGCATTTCTAATGGAAATTTCATGGCTAGATTGATGGCGATACAGATGTACCTTCGGTTCAGCAAGAGTTTGCTGCAGCGATCTATCAACTTAAGCGTCAGGCCCGACGAACCGAAGACGCTAGTCATTCGGCGAATGATGATCACCCAAACTTGGCAGCCCCCGGTAATATCAATGGGGGCCTTCGGGATATGCGGTTGCCCAATGGCATATCAAAGAATATCATTCCAAATGGCATCAGTTCAATTAATCATCAAACGAACAAGAGAAAGAAAATTGGAGGTAAGCTTTTTTTAATGAAAATTATGATGTTTCCATTACAGAGTTATTGTTGGAAGAGATTGTCATTGTCGGCTAATAAGTTCTTGGGGAGTTCCAATTTCTAGTCACGAACTTTTTCCTGTATTTTTGTTTCAGTGTAGACCTGAAGCAAATTTTAGGCAGTCTTTGAATATTATTTATAACCGTTCAGACGTTCTCATTTTATTATTATTGATTGTTGTAGCGATTAAATTGCCGAATGGTTTTGCCCATCATGGACCGAAAAATGGTTTTGGCGTAAACGTACGTGAAGCCGTAATAGAAGGTGCGAGAATTGCCAACGGTGTGGTAAACGGCAATCACCAAAATGGCAATCACGTACACATGAATGGTGCAGCAAATGGCGCCCAACATTATTTGCAAAATGGCGTTGGTTATTTGGCTAATGGAATTCCGCCAGGAGCCAACAAGGTTGCACCTGCTCCAATGACAAACCCCAAAGACTCCATTAGAAAAATGTATAACGAAGTTGATGGATATCACGAAAATCTTCACATATAGACTGTGAATTGAGTGTAAGTGAAGTCAGTATTATAGGGGGATAAAAGATGTTGAGGAGATCCTCATGACCTTTTTCTTACTGAAGAATCTCACTTTCATAGGGGACAACTTCCTTTTTTCAAAATAATGAATAAATAATCAGTAGTAACTATCATTAATATTTTGAAATTATTGGATATTGTCCGATGGTCTCAATGCCTGGGACCGATTGTCAAATTTTGCAGGTTCATGATCCCGAATACAAAGCACGAGAGATTTTCCCGCACAATTTGACACGCATTTCTAGGAATTGGAAGCTTGAGGAAAATATTCGATTAGATTTCAAGCGCGAGTGGTATTTAATAGCTCATTTTTCCCCTCAAATTTCGGTCGAACAGAGTACAGTGGACAGTATACCGATGCATTTACACAATCATGCAAAGAAATAGAAAAAAAAAAAAACTTTGCAAGACTAATTTGAAGAAAGCTGTGCAACACTTCTTGGTCTATCGCATAGAATATTGAACATGAAATGCGTAGAAAGGTGAGAAACATTAAAAAAAAATACTAGTGAATTTTCGTCGGATATTTTTTAAAAATTACAAAAATGAAGCTGTTTGACAGCTAAGAAATACTACGCTCTGATTGAAATGATGAAAATTTAGTGCAGTGGATGATTGAACTAATGAAGAACTGCTCATAACCCTTAATTTTGACAATGAACCTGAGAATCACTAGATTAATTATCGGATAAGGTAATCATAGCGGAAATATTATAATATTTTTCAAGTATCAAATGCGGGACAAACAGTCGATAATTGTAAGAAATAAAAATTTAGGATATACTACAAGTTGAATATTCATTATGATATTTTTCAATACACAATGGAGAAAAAGTGGATTTGATACAAAATGGGGAGACATATCAGGGATAATTCCGCTGGCGGATTTAATAAAAAATAAATTGTTAAAACTTGAGAGATAACATGCAGTAATCGAGTGATATTTGTGAATTCCGTCGTTGACGAATATACGGAGAGTGATTTCGAGGATTACGAGTAATATTATGGAATATTCCAACAGATTTCTACGATTTTTACAATTATCTGATTTGATCTTATATGTATTTGAGAAATATGTGCAATTTTATTCCGAACCCCTTGGCGAACAATCACCGTAGAGATCATATTTAGTTTATCTAATTGCAAACTTGTATACATCTAGAACTAGTCGAGAAAGATCTATTTAATTATTTTATTCTGTTTACGTACATTTGCGTCATTGTAATTTTTTCATATTTTATCGTCAGCTCATGTTTTACGCAATCGTTAAGTTATTAATGAAGTATTTTAATATTGTATGTAAATGTTTATAAATAAATCAGAAAAGTTATTACTATATCCGTTCCTTCCACCTCCGTTTTCTACTAGTCGAAGTCGTTTGAACTTATGGGGAATGGGGAAACTATCTTTTTTTTATCGAGGTTGAAGGATTAAGAACTTTCTGACTTGACCTTGATTTACCGAATATGAATCCTATCTATCAACTCTTCAAGGTCACTTCACTCCACTAATGTCACTGGAAATAATGGAGTCATTTTAATAGCAAGAAGTGCACTTGAAGTTTCTGAAGATTTGGATACCGCTATTAATTACTTTCAAATAAACTATATTCCCCGGTTGCTATATAGGGAAATGCGCAGTAGTATTAGCATTTTTTTAATTGAATTTGATGTAGGAGTAATTAAGATTTTTTAATTTTTAATATATTCCGGCTCTTTCTGCCCTATTATACACATAGAACATAGGAGTAAGAAGGGAAACCACAGGAATAACCATGTCGGTACAGGCGGTCACTCTATTGGCAGCCTCCCGCTCATTGGTGCCTGTTGTTCGATTCAATGGGGGAGCAATTGAGATTTAATGTGATTTCTCTCATTTTTTGATATTATCCGTTTATCCAAGGATATTCAACAATTAAATTGTTATCAATTTTCATGAAAATTCAGAATATCTACTCTTTATTGTCTACATAAAACTAGCACTTGCATGGTGTACAATTTAAATGAATCAATTTATCTTCTGTAGATAGAACAATTACGACTCAACTCGTTGATCTCCTGCCGGTAGAATTGCTTTCATAATCGTCGGTAAAGCAGAATTGTTCATTTTTCAGTTCTTCGGGAGAAAAGATACTATGCAAGGGCTCACGAGATGGAAATACTGACAATAATAATGGCAGTAACAAAATAAGACAAATAATCGGAAACTTTACGGGAATTTGACCGAGGGGGGGATTTAAAAGCTCTATTCATTAGATTCAAATAAGAACTAATGGAGTAATTTGAAAACTGAGAAAAAAGTCGGAAAATCAATTTCACCGTGTATTACGTTGCAATGGATGAGTTATAGATGTCAGCGATCCCAATCCCTTTGGAATCAAGTTTCGGAAATCGCGTGATTACGCTTCATTCGTTTATAATTTTTTTTATACTCTTCCATATGCACTTACCTTATAAGGACGAATGACCACTGTTTGGTGCACCACACCGATTCCAACGGGGGATTATGTACACTTGGCGTGTGCGCGCACATGGGAATTATGTGGGTCAACGATAATGAGAGAAGAGTCCAATTTTATTGACACCTGCCACCGAATCGCGATAAACTCACTCAATTTCCCTCAATCTGTCGACTTTGAATTTCGCCGATTTTTTTCGCCAAGGATTATTTCGAGTTTCATCAAATTCAACAATTTCAGAGCATATCACTATCATCCCTAATAATTAATTCAGTGGAAAATTCTACTTGAATTAGAAAATTAAATTTAAAAACTACGGAATTGGGAAATAATTGAAAAGTATAATGAAAGCAGTGGGGATATTTTACTGGCTTTTTCGGTTATTCATTATTTTCAAAAGCTTTTTTGCGAAGGAAAGAACTAGATAAGCGTTTTTTTCCGAGGCCGGTGTTTAGATAATATCTCGAAACTGGAAAACGATAGTGATATTTTTGTGGATAATTTATTAGTACCTCTCATCTTTCTCCAAAAAAACTGTTTATGTAAAAATATTGCTATTTTCGTTTAATTTCAAGATACTTTTTCTCGTATCTCATAATTCGACTTATATCCTCCAAGCTTAATTTAATTAATTTCTTTGGTTTTCGATAGAAGCTTTTATAATCATCGAAAATTTCGGATTTATGTAGATCTGCACAGAAAAAAACGATCAGAATTTTTAGTGCAATGGAAATGCTTTCTCTTCCATCAATGCAATTTTATGTCACTTTCCTCGAATAAAGGGAATTTTCCTTTTTCATTCTAATTTTTTTCCACCACTGATTTCCTTTTACCACAATTCGCAGAAAAATGAAGTAATTATACTGCACTATGAGTGCACAGATGTGACTGAATAGACTAGCGTCAAGGTGTAAAGAATCAAAAATAAAAAAATTTTTTTTTAAGTTTTTCCACGCAGCTGTCCCCGGGAAATTTCGAAATATAAGGTTTCCCCATATCTCGAGGGAAAAATCAGAAGATCATAAGGTCACCAGCGAAATCCACTCGAGATCTCTGTAACAATTATCTAAAATAAATGGGGATTTGAAATTAAGAAGGCCTGAGACTCATGGGGTGGGTCTGAATGAATTAACGTTGATGGAATTCCTGACGGGTTTTTCCGGAGCACCTTGCGGCAGCTGTTGAGCCTAGATTTCCATGTACCCTATTTTTCTATCCACCGACAAACCCAAAAATCTCCTCGAGTGACGCCCACGGTCTGTCTGTTATTTGTTCTCTCCACCCTCAAATCTGAGGGCAGAAAAACCGATGACTTCAGATATTCGCTCGATGAAACTTTGCTCTCCATGGGACTCACCCCAAAAGTAGAAATCACATGAAATTGCAGGATATCCAAATATTTACTGCTTTATTTAATGAAAACATCGTAATCCACCAACTTTCTTTCTCTAAATTCCTTCGTGTGTATATTTTTTAAAAAATATGATTAATCTTTCGGATCCGGCAAACGAACTTGTCTTCATTTATAATAATGAGTAAATCCCAATTCGCTTGAACCTAAAGATTTAATTATTTTCACTGTGAGAGGTCAATTAAAATATAATTTATAGGCGATAAAAAAAAAATCATACTTATGAAAAATCTAATTTTTCACAAATAGTTAAAAAAATCATCGATTAAATCAAGTTGATTCAACTGAAGTATGAATTGATTTGCAGTGATTTTTAACGATTAAAATAGTCAGTGGTATGTTTGAGTTGTGAAATTGCAGAATTAATTAGGCAATTAATAAATAATGAAAATGAAATTAATCCGTCTCATAGCCAATCGAAACCCCCGTAAATGGATTACCAGACACACTTATCACAGCTGGAGATTTCCCCCATCAATTGTCGAGTGCGCAGCTCTCAACTTTCATATGCCTGATATGCGCAGTAGATCATTCGAATTTGATGCGTTTATCGTTGCGCACGGCAAACGATCAATTCACCACTGAATCATTACCAGAAACCCCCATCCACGTGTTATGGGATACGATCCAGTTTTATTATTCACGTGCGCGTGCTTGCCATCAAATAAAATTTAAAAAACAGCGTGTCGTCCTGACGCATGCGCAGGTGCACATTGATCAAGTTTAAGTAGTTGAAAAAAAGATGTTTCGCTCCATTTTTCTGATGGAGATTATGCACCCGGTGAAACTTCGTGCCATTTTCGTCCGGGAAAATTAATTACGCGAATCTCTCACTCTTCTCCTCAACATTTTTTTTTTCATACTGAGTACGTGGTCTGATTGCTCAATACATTTTTTTTTCATCCGGATATATTAATATTCGGAGGTTTAATTAGCTGGGGACATTCAAAGCTCACATCAGCGGTGTAATCATCGTGCTATTTACATATTAATCGGTCAATGGAGTTTATGGGATAATTATCATACTCATTTTTCATGGTTAAATACGGAAACAACCAAAGGCACTAAAATATTCGGAATAGTTCTATTGAAAATTGCAAAAACAATACGATCAACAAAACAGTACAGACCTATATAAATTTATATTTATTATACTATGATGTAATTATTTTTTGGAGCGGCCGCCTGTGCGGTCTTACGACGAAACTCTATGTGAATGTTTATTAAATAATATAAACTAATCTCTGAGCACGGAAAGAAAGACACCATGATGACGATTCTTTGGTTTTTGGGACTTCGAAATTATTTGATAGTTCGGCGATTGCTCTCGAAGTGTGAACACATCTTACTAAAATATAATTCAACTGCTCTTACTTAAACGTCTATTCATTTATTAACCTGGCTTTCAATTAAAGCCCAATAAGTCTTTACTTGAAAAACAATATTACAATGCAATATCGATTTTCAAGTATTTACAATGCAATTGTTATTTGTAATGCAAGTAATTACAATGCAATATTGATTTTCAAGTGGATAGAAATTTCTCCGAAGTGACAATTTCTGTATTTATATTAATTCCGCCTGCATATATTTAGACCGAAAATGTAACATGTCACATATACTCTACATATAAATATACATATTATTAGTATATACTATATATATATTTTCTTCGTATTGGACTGTAACAAAAGTTATATGAATGCGAAATTTTTCCAAGTTTCAATGAATGTCATCAGGATCCTTAGGTCTGTAAAACAGAAACAAAAAATGTCTAATGATTCTGTATTCCTGTTTAATTAATTCACGTCAGCAGTGATTTAATCGCTTCACTAATGCGTTTTTGCTCATCTTATGCAAAATTTTAGATCACCTTACGATTAAAATAATTCAGAAAGGTCTAAAATAGAGTTTCTTCCGTAATTGATGATTTATATTCAACACCAATTGGTGCAACAGGCCTTAAATCCTTCATAATTTTCTTCTGTTTGGGGTATCGTTTTCGGTCCTTGCGATTTGTCGTGCCTTATCCCAACCCTCAGTATTCACCACAGACTAAGGAGAAACCTCAGAAAGGATAGATACAAGATCAGGTAGCTTCTCACAAGAATCTCAGTAGAATAATAGAACCTTGAGAGCTGGAGCGTTACAAATTGTCCTTTAAGTGTCAACCCCTGCGTTATAACCGCATCGGTTTTGCAGTCGGTGTCATATTCAAATTAAGGCCCAACTTTCACAGGTTGCCCGCTATTTTTCTCCCTAGATCCCCCGCACATTTTCTTTGTACTTCATATTTCGTGTCGCTTACATTTTGAGTGGTCGGTGTGGTCGGTGTCATATTTAAATTAAAGCCCAACCTTCACCGTTTTCTCTCTATTTTTCTCCTTACATTCTCCGCACATTTTCTTTCTAGATCATGAAATCCCTAATTGCGTTTCAAGCAAGGTACTTTTGAAAATATCATTATCTTCCTTCAATTTCGAGGAATCAGCTAAAAAATGGTCTCGAAACAAAAATATCATATCACAATATTGCGCTTAATATCATGCAGTCATAATATCATAGTACGAAATATTGCTGATAACAATATCACATAGTTAAGGCCCGGATGGACTGTCTGGAAAAGATAATCTACTCCGAAATTGGGACTTCTAATTACTCCGTCAATTAATCGTTTTTTTCTATAATTTTTAGCTAGCGGCCTAGTTGTTGGCAACCGCTAGAACGCTAGCTAACAATTATTGAAAAAAAACGATTAATTGCCAAAGTAATTAGGAATCCGAACTTCGGAGTCAATTATCATTTCTAGATAATCCACCCGAGCCTTAAAACGAATTCCATGATTTCTTTATTTTTTACGGTTTGGTTGATTACATTGATAATCAATAAGCGATAATGATAATTATAATTCAATATTGTTCAAACGTGCTATTCCAAATAATTGTATGCAGCACCTCGAAGATGCTCGAGTGATCATCGAATGAAGCAAAACAATGATCAATAATATTCTATCAACTCACTATTTTTTTCCGAAATGCATGCGACATATATGCAGATATAATTATCCATCAGGAAAAAAAATCACCTGCCAGTTTGGAATTTATCAGCAGAGTTTCTTCCTGTACTCATTAAAATAAAATAGTGCTTGTAAAATCTTTATTCATCATTTAAAACAGGAAAACTCGATATCTACGTTTCCCGATGAGTATATAAACACGACCTGGCGTACCAATATTGTTTTTCGCCGAATAAAAATGGGAATTCTGAGATTTTTGCGCATCGCAATTATGGCTGTAACTATCACCCTCATTGCTGAGTTTGGGCGTGAGTTTCACGGAATTTTTTATTCATTATGATTACTTTCCCCAAAAATATTATCATCCAGTAAAGTTGTGCAATACCAATCTGCAATAAAAATGTTTCACTGGAAAATTCCACGTCCCACACATTGTTACGGAATTAGTACATTACGATACGATTTTGGAAAACGATTTTGGGGGTCCTGAGGTCTGAGGGAGGCTTATACAACGAGTCTAATAACACGTTTGCCGCGAGTATTTATTTTTTATAGCAAAAACCTCCGAAAGCCTCAAAGTGCTCATTTATCTATCACTCTTTCCCCGTTTACAAAATTCAAAATCAACATGTGTTCTGAACCATCTAATAAATCGTAAATAATCTCCATTTAAAATGGGCTTTTAGATTGTGCGGAAGATTCTACGTTCAATTGCGCTCTGATTTGTCCGGATGGTAAACCTGCCCGTCCTGGTTGCAAATGCAACTGAAGAAGCAAAAAAAAATTACTATATCTCGTTTTATGCGCAGTGCTGTAGTGAATTTAGATGAAATAAAACTATCATAATCAGTGCCGATTTGAATTCAGAGAATCTCTATTTTCCTCCTTCGCAGTTCGCCTTGCGTTATCGTAATTTATTTGCATTAGACATGAAAAGCAAACGCATAAAAACCAGATGGAGGAAAAATATTCACGATTCTGGAGTTAAGTAGACGGAAGCGCTGATGGTATATAAGAATTCCGTAGCAGTGAAACTACATTGTCCGCAGGATGACAGGTCTTTCCAGAATTTTCCTCTTCGCAATCATTTTCGCCATCATATTGGTCATCCGAGGTGAGTGCATTGTAGGATGATTTCCAATTCAGTGTTGTTATTTAGTTCTTTCAAATTATTACTATCAATATATTAATTAGTTCACTTAATCGTGAGACATGTTCATGAGAAATCGGTTAATTGATCTTTTATTTTAGCGCAACGAGGATGTCCATCTTGTGGAATCCTTTGTCCTGGAGGAATTGAACAACCGGCTTATCGAGGTGACTGTTCATGCCGATGCTCACCACAATTTTGATTTGTATGTATTGCCAATAAAATTATCCTGACATTTTTAAGATCGTTATTTATAAATACAGTGATTAAATAGATTATACTGATGCAGCGTTTTGAGATGATGGGAAATAGTCAACAAACGATAGAATAAATCAATATATTAGTAGTTGATATATTTTTCATGACGTGACTTCAACCTCATAATTCCAGGCACAGGTTCTGATGGAAAACTCCATTTACTGACCGCACCGCATTCTCAGAAAATGGCGTTTCTCGCACGCCAGTTTATTGATTCAGATTATTTATCAACAATATCTATTGATTGATATATTATCGAGATATCTATTGATTGATATAATATTGAAATATCTATTGATTCAATATTTATTACTCCATTAAGCTAGTCTTGGTATTAGTTGGAATAAAAAAAATGTTGTTTATATCTTAGAAGATCGTGTTCTATAAATCTGTTGTTGTTCATAACTCAGTCGTCAGGATGTTATTTCAAGTACATTAATCGGCCGGTTTTGTCGTGATGTATTTGGATTAGATATGAGAAGAAAAGCAGAAAAAGCGACACTCCCTACTCCGCATGCAGATGCATTTGTATATAAAGATATGTTTGGATTGTCTGATGATACATTGCATTATGTTCTTGGAGTTCAGTCTTTTCAAAGTGTTTTTGGTTCTCGCAATGGTCTTGCTTCTATTTTCACTCATTGAAGGTATGTTGTTGCTTCAACCCAAGGGATGGTAGTACTCCCATTTTTTGTAGTACTTGTTGAAATAATAGTGTGTGCATTGGTTCATGGTAATACTTTATTGAGAGGGATAGATTAACGAGGGGTGAGCTGTCCATTTATTGGACACTCAAGGGGAGACGTATGTATTGTGTATAAAATGTATGTCTGTGTATAAAATGTGTGTCTGTACATGAATAATCTCAACAAAAAATTTTTTCAAATCAATTTTTAGACGAATCGGGTTTTTTTGTTATCCTTGAGAAATACGGAAAATGATAATTGCCATTTTTTTTTTCAATTTTGAATGCTGTGTTGTTTAATATCAAAATTGCATCGCTCATTTTCATTATTAGAGTAATGATTTAACCGAGCATATTATGTTTAAAACGTTAAGAAATATTGTTCAAGAGAATCTCGAAATTAAAAATCCCAATCAAAATTCGAATAAACGCCTAGTCTCGGAGAAATTCAATTTTTCTGTCCCATTTTTTTGTATTGTTGAAAATGAAATTGAAATAAAAAAAATCGAGTTCTTAAATAAAACGATTGATTTCGCGATTTCGTAATCGGTAAGCGAACTGAAAGTTCCGTAACTTTTACTAAATATTTATTTCCGTACATGCGGAAAAATAGATTTAAAAAAAAATTATAAAGTTTTTATCTCAATTTCATGTATTACATTTATTTATTATTTAAAGAAAAAACATTCACACCCAAAATTTATTGCAGCGCAAAACTGTCCAGCATGCGGAAATACCTGTCCGAGAGGTCAAAATCCGCCAGTTAGAAGAGGCGAATGTCCACCCTGCAATGCCGGATGTCTATCCTGAGGAATTCCCTTGATCCCTAAAACAGTAATCAGAAAAACTTTCCGGAAAAATCGATACTGAGAGGATGATCAACTGAGGCATTCCCGAAGCCGCCAGCTGTCGTAATTAAAGTCATGCACTCGGTCATCCCAATGGTCCCTAAATTTTCATGACATTCATTTTTATACCCTGATCGGCCATTTGCTGGCTCTTATGGGCACTCACCATCATCAAGCGCGCCAATTTTGGCATCCAATGAGCTTCACTCGATCATCATTAAATTTCCTGTGTACAACCACTTGAAATTCATTGTTAATCTCGTTAAAACGCCTGAAAAAACATTTGAATTTGACCCAATTCCCCTGATGCTCGAATTATGTTAATGAGATGTCGCGCCAATAATTCCGTGGAAATAAACATGTTATTCCTCCCCTGATTTATTCTCATTACATTTTCCTTCATGATAAATCTCGCCATAACCTCAAAAGGAAATAATTTACTCCTTGTGATTTGCTGGCGCATGCTCAGTGGGTACAATTAGCTGAAATTTTATGGGAGCATTATGTTGAGACCTTAAAATTGTCCAAGTGATTATACTTCAAGTGGTAATAAAGTACGTCGTTAAAAGGAAGAGAAGAGGTACCCACGTACGTGAGCGATGACTCTCACCGCACTGCATTTTCTTTTTCTCTTGTTTCGAATGAGAGAATGAGACAAAAGATGACAGTCTTGCCAACCAGTTTAGGAACATGAAAAAAAGTGAAAGACAGGTGTACATAGGATTTATCTAAACTGATTTATCATCTCGACAAATTGGTGACGATAAATTTTTCGTTCACTAACTCGTAAACCCAAGGAGCTCGGAAATTTTTTTTTCGTCAGTTCAAAAACAGACAGTTCTCCGTTTTTCTGAGATTTATATCTAGTCGCTCACAAGTTATAAACATTGGGATGAAAAATAACTAGAACTAGAAAAATAACTAGATGTATAATGGTGATATAGAGATTAAACTAATATTGCTTTTGGGGTTGGAGGCTATTTGGTTGCTGTTTGTTGCTTAACATTAACATTAACATTCTTTCTATCATTAGTATCTTCAATCCCTTTCCATCCATTTTTTTATATTAATCTATTAAAAAATGCAATGCAACGTTTTTCGTTCCCAATCCATTTCGCATAGCTTAGACTTCCAATAATTACAAAAAATTCATTTCACTTGAAACCTATTATTCCAATTAATTATTTAATAGTTTAAACTTTTGTAAACTTAAATTTTCGTTTTTCAGTTTGGAAATTACGTTTTTATCCAGAATGATTTATTATACACGGTGATCCCTTTGCTGAGAACAATTCAAATATAATTCAAATTATTCGGTACGTCTAATCAATATTCTCTACTAAAAATTCGCATGGATTAGTATATTTCCGGCTTGCTGGGATGGGGATTAATCAGACGCCAATTGCAGAGGAGTAAAAAACCCCATTCCAACAGGTCGGACAATAATTTTTGCAAGTTTTCGAGTTTGTGAAGTATCCAGTACCGATTTTTGAACGAAAAATTGAGAGAGACAGTATCAGAAAGAATATATTTCTAGGCATGCTGATATAACTCTAAAAAATTAATTTTATTCAGATCCTTATATATAATGCGTAGCTTGGAAATAGTATCAGGATATTTATATATATATTATATCATATTATATTATGGCATTATGCATGCGTTTATATATATTTAATATTTGGTATAAGTCATATTGAACAATTGTTTCGCCGTTTTTGCACTGTTTTATCGTAACCGCTTCTGACTATATTATAAAAAAAACCGTAACTCAGAATCTTCGGAGGTAAATGTTTAATCCAAATTTCGGCGGGTTGTTGGTATTAAATATGGTAAAAATGTAATTGAATTGGTTTTTTTAGGATGGAGTCATTAAATTCCATCACCTGCTAAATTGTTTCTCGCGCGTTCGCACTAGAAAAAATTTCGCGCGGAATTTTGGCAGCGCGGGGCATGCAAATTAGGTGTATAGGTGATTTTCATGTGTTTGCTTTGCAGTTAAACTTGAATGAGTAAAAATTTTGCAAGTCGTAAATGCAGGTGGATGGTACATTTATGCGAGTTTAACGATTGAAAAAAAAAAATGGATCGGCTTCAGTGGGCGCCGGTAAAATTATTCGCACCGATCGTTACGAATATTCAGGAGTGGTCGTTAATTTTTTTCGGCTCCAGTGTTTATTTTTTTGGAAAAAAATAAGTTCAATATTTGGAGAATTATCGTGGGATTTTACGACGTGTTTAAGGAGGTACAAGCGTCTTGCTGTCTAGAGACTTTACACTTTTTGGATATTGAAATTACTTTATTGATCATGCCATATTGGGTACAATACCGCTTTTTCGCTGATTATCTGGTAAACAATTCATTTTTTTAAATCCAACATATTCATTAAGCCAATAGTTCGCATTAACTATATATTTTTTAAATTTATAATTTTTCCACTTTTGTCTAATTATTTTTATACATCTTCGCAGAATAATTAATTTATTTGTTAAGTCTTCTTCTAGTGAAAGTTCTCAATCAAAATTTATGCGACTTTCATTGAATTTTTTTTAACAAAAATAAATATGATTTTTTTTCCTAAAAAAAATAGTTCAGTCTAGTGAAGCCATACAGCAACTATGGACAAACTAAACTAAGAATGTATGAAAAACGTGTACAAAGCGTACGCAGGTGGTAGCAGAGTAAAAAGTTCACCTGTAATTCATTTCTACTTCTTTATATCTCGCGTCGTCCAATCATCGGTCTTTCTCTTACATTAATTTTCCTCACGGCTACCACCTTTGATGTTCATTGAACACTCCTCGAGGATATATTATTGCGCGGAAGGTTTAATTGGCGAAATCATCGGCAATGTATCTCTCTGGGTGAAATACTTTTTCAACTCACCTTTAAACGAAATGCAGGCGTATATATTTCAGTTCAAATAGTTCCCACACAGAAAATAAAAGCAAAAAAATATAAATAGGAAGATGATTTAACATTGAATGAATTCATGCCGATGACGTATACACAATAATATTTATGTCATTCAATCTTGGAGGTAGGTTTTCCTGGGGTGTCTTGGAGGGCCTCTAAGGCACAACATTGTATTATACACCTGTAACAACTGAAATCCATAACAAAAGCTGAATCCTATACCTCATTGGCGCTCTATTTAGAATTCCACAACAACCCAGGTAAACTGACGTACCAAAACAAAACGTATTGTACTCTAATTTTAGAAACTCCAATTTTTTGGAGGACCTGTGGCTTCTCTTTTGTTGTCCATTCAAATTTTTCATCTATTTGTGTTCATTTCATGGTCTTTAATCGTTAATTTTCTCCATTCAATCTTGACTTTCACATGGGAAGTATTGGAATTTCTTATTGGGGGGGTAAACATCTCAGCTCGAGTTATCCAAATTTTTTATCCGAGAATTTATGACATTTTAAGGCGCACGTACACGGATAAAAAATTCCAGAAAACTTCTTTCTCCTTGGATTATTAATTAAAAAACACTACCGGGTGGCATGAGCCTTGGTCGTGATATCAATTTATTATAATTTAATAATAATAATTCTTCCATAATAATTTCTTCCTCACATCCTAATATAGAAAAAAGGGTAATCGATTTCGAGATATTTGAAATATATCGAATGACTGTAAGAGTAAGGCCCAAAAGACGAAACCGATCCGCCACCACGACGTCCACGTTATTAATTATTATAAAAATATGTTACTTTACAATGGGGATGATGTTTTGTTCGTCAATAAATAATTGAAAGGAGCCAATGGGACGATTATTCTGATTGCTATTGATGCTACAATAAAATGCATGAAATTTCATCGAAAGATTTTAATAGACCATCAGTTCAATAATATTAATAGTATTATAATAAATACGATAAATACTGTTACAGATTAAAAATTGTAGAAGTTTATTTAATTGAAGAGGAAATGAAATCATATTGACAAATGAAATCGAAAAAAGGCCAGAACACTAACCTCAGAAGAGAAAAAATAAGTGAATTAATTATATAAGAACATGCACATATAAAATGTAATCGCATAATCAATATGCATAATTATACGAAAATAATGTTAGAGCGGAGATAAAAGTGTTGAAAAAAAAAATTCCGCGCAACCTTTCACTTATCGGTTTACTCGATTCCGGAAGTGGTGGTAGCCGTTGCATCTGTAATATTTCCACAGCTTATCGTAATATCTTTAACGATAGAAAGATTCACCGGTGATTCACCCAGGCGCTAGGATTTTAGGGGTGTTTAGCCCACGTAAAAAATAATGTTAAATTGAAGTGAGGGTAGGCATCGTTGCGTGACGCTGATGAGACCGGCGGTTTAGTGCGCATTGATAGAGAGGGAGAGAGATAAAAACAGATAGAGAAAAGAGAGAAGAAGATAAAAGAAGAGGGAGAAGGGGATGAGAATGAGGATGGTCGGGGTCAAGTACCGGAAGTTGTACCTGAGGGGTTGCCGCACTGACCGGTTGGGCTTTTTCGATGGCATCCAACAAATTAACCCCTGGGTTGTATATATTTGGTCGTTGATGCGCATCCCCCAGTTGCATCCCTGTTCTATACATACTCCTGTTTTTTCACCCGTCACCATATGTCGTGCAGGTGAAGACACTGTCCGATATGCGAGAGACCGTATCGGCCAGCACGAGCCATAGTTACACCCCCTTTCTCTCCCCCTTAACTCTTATGTTCTCTCTTTGCAACCCTCGGCGGATTTTTGATCGCGTGTGCTCCACGCCCTGGCGCGTGTCCCCCTTCTGTCTTCACGAGGAACATGTGGAAAATCTTCTTGAGGATTTTTCGTCATAGTTGACTTTACCGAGTTTACACCGAGAAAAAAAATTCATGAAAAATTCTGTAACTGTTTCGCAGTGTTATTCCGGTAAAAAAAAACGCGAACATGAGTTTTTTAATGTTTTGGATTTTTTTATTTTCGAAATGCAGATGCAGTCGCCATTGCTAGAGACTAGTTAGATAGTATGGCTATAGTAATTACTTTATTGATATGGTTATTGTTGCTAAGCTTACCATGAACATTTCAGTGATCAATTTGCAAGCGAAATTTTTGGATAAATATTAATTCCCTTAAGCCAAATATAAAATAAAAAATATAAAATGATTAAATATAATTATATAAATAAATAAATATAAAACTATATATAAAATTGAAAATTCAATTAAACGATTTCAAAGATTTCGTCTGGAAACAAAAAAGGGATAAAAAACTGTTTGGAATGGTTCTTCTCAATTCATCTACCCCAACAAGTCATTTTATTTTATTCATTTCATTACAGTCTATCTCTCATAATAAACTGTGTCATTCGAATTCCATTCCTATCAACAAATGAACCACTGAGTC